CTGTAAAAAAAAATTGGAAATATCCCAACCTTCCATTAATAGGGTTAGTAGGGGGTTGGTTATCAAAGTATGTCCTTAAACTAGAAAGCTATATATACCGTAGAGCGAAATTTATTTTTATTAGTGGATATTAAAAGTTACCCAAAACACAGCAAATGAAAAAAGTTAGAAGGCAAATATGAGCCCAATTACATGCCATATAAAGTTATGTGTGTGGAGACACAGCTGTGTGACCTCGGGTTAAGCTGTTTAACTTCTCTATTCCTCAGTTTTCTCCTCTACAAAACAAGAACAGTATCTGCCTCGTAAGACCATTTATTATAATGATATCGTATATACTGTGCTTAGAAAGTACCTGGGACATGGCAATCATGCATATTAGCTATTATTATAAGCATAACTAGCCATAAATGTCACCACAATACTTTTCCAGGGTTCCTTCTCACAGATGGGAATTCAGGTGAATTTTAATGTCTTTTTTTAATACATCAAACTTCTCTGTATTGCTATTAATCTAAAATTCTTTTAAAGACTGCTTCTGGGTTCCAGAATTTTCTTTTGATAATATTATTTTTCCCACTGTCCATTATAAATGAATGTGATCACTTGTTTATCTGTGAGTACCTATGTGTCCACTCTAGCTCTCTAGACAGAAATTCTGGCTTCTTGGTTCCCTTGGGTATAGGCTGGTACCCTGGCCTCAGCACCCCAACACTGCCCCCTACAGCACTCATAGTAACCCCTACCCTGCCTTGTGTCCTGTCCTTTTCTGAGGGTTCTACTGTTCAGCAGATGCAAGGTCTAGTCAGGCAGGAATGAAGGGAATCTGACAAACTACCTACTATGGATATGGCATCCTCTCAAACACATCAAGATATCAAGATGGTTCTTACCATCTTCTTTTTTTTTTTTTAAGAGATGGGGTCTTGCTGTGTTGCCCAGGCTGGCCTCAAGCTATCCTCCAACCTCAGCCTCCAGAGTAGCTGGGACCACTAGCTCGAGCCTCCATGCCTGGTTAAAGGCCACCTTTTTCACTTTCTGCAAACAGTTCTGGTTGTCTCCACCTTGGAGTCTTTACTGGCACATTTCTTCTTGCCTAGAGCACTATTCTTGCCTCAGTGCCTATTCAAGACCCAGTCTACCACTTAAACCTCTACCTCCTCCAGGAAGCAGTCTAGTAGTCCTCTGTGATCTCAAAGAATAACAGACAGAATACCAGAGAGGAAACGGATATTAGAGATCCTCTCCTTTGGGAGTCACCAACTCTTTCTGTAAAGGGCCAAATAGTAAACACCTTTGGCTTTGCAGACCAGGATCTTTCTGAACAATAATGCACTGCCATGTTGCCCAAAGGCCACCACGGGCAATATGAAAATGAGCGTGGCTGTGTTCCAATAAAACCTTATTTATGAGCCCAGTGAGGTGACTCACGCCTATAATTCTAGCACTTTGGGAGGCTGAGGTGGGAGGATTACTTGAGCTCAGGAGTTTGAGGTTACAATGAGCTATGATGACACCACTGCACTCAAGCCTGGGTGACAGAGCAAGACCCTGTCCTAAAAATAAACAAAAAACTTTATTTATGGACACTGAAATTTTATGTTTATATAATCTTCACAAGTTATGAAATATTGTTTTCCTCAACCATGTACCTGGCAGGCACATAACAAGTACTCAAAGTGCTTAAATGGGGGAACCACACACCATTTTTCTCTTTAAACTACAAATCTGTACAGTTGGTGGTTTAATTAAGGTTTCCTTGTTTTCTAACCCTGAAATGTCTTATATTTCTTAAGTAGTTCCTCTGGCTTCCTCCCTTAAATGGAATATTAACTTCTGTCTGTAGTAAAATGCAATATTCAATCCACAATAAGATTTCTCTTTTCTTTTTCTTTTTGGAAACAGAGTCTCACTCTGCTACCTCGGCAAGTGCCGTGGTGTCACCCTAGCTCACTGCAACTTCAAACTCCTAGGCTCAAGAGATCCTCCTGCCTCAGCCTCAGAGCAGCTAGGACTACAGGCAGGCACCACCACACCTGGCTAATTTTTCTATTTTTAGTAGAGACCGGGTCTCGCTCTTGCTCAGGCTGATCTTGAACTTCTGAGCTCAAGTGATCCTCCAGCCTTGGCCTCCCAAAGTGCTAAGATTACAGGCATGAGCCACGGTGACAGCCAGTAAAATGGCCAGTAAAGATTTCATTATTCCTGCCCAGTCCCAGGGGGAAGACCCCACTGCAGTCTTTATAACATGTTAAACATTTAAAACTCAGCTTTTTTTAAAAAGTCTCAGATATTAGATATCCACTTAGATTAAATTCATTACAGGAATTAAGATAAATGTGTATAGGCATACATTTTATTAGTATGATAATTTTAGGTTTAATTGTTCAAATCACAATTAAAGGTATGTTACAAATTCTTAATAGGCTTTCTCATGTTAAAGTTTGAAGCTCTTAGGTTTTTATCATTTGTGCCCTAAATCAACAAAGACACTTGACAGATTATAATCTAAATTAACTTGCTTCATTGTCATCTTCTTCATTCCCTAGAGATTAGAATGATTGCCTTTACTAATCATAATTAAAACCTCATTAATTATTTTGGCCATTTGAAATCCTTCAGAATCCTAGTAGGGTTGAAGTATTTTTAGCCTTGAAAAATAAAAAAGAAACAAAAAGACACTGGTACCCAAACACCAGCTTAAAAGCAAATCAAAGCTCTGACCAGTCCAACTTTTTAAAGGTCTGTGTTCCTCTTGCAATAGCAGGTAATAACCTACTCCGATGACGTCAGTGTTATAGAGACCATTTGTAATAGGGAGACATCCCCAAACAAAGGATTTGGATCATAAGACAGAAAGTATTCCAATTTTATTTTTTAAGATCCTACTATTTTTTCTGAACCACATACATGATAACTAAATAAGGATTGCATATTTAAAACTCAACAAAAAATGTGCCTATGTACTGTAGATAGCAATTTTTTAGAAATTACTTCTTTTCTTTCTTCTCTCTTTAAATCCCAGAATTTCCATATTATCTTTGTAGATTATTCCCTACCAGACTAAATTTATAACGAGTTTATGGAGCCAGGAGAATGCTACTGGAGAAAAGTAGTTGATGAGAATTAGGTTTAATTATAGAAAAAGGAAATGTGAGAAATAAATAAAATGACAATGCTCCTACATTCCTGGATCACAATATTGGAGGAAAATTGATAACAAAAGGTGAATTAAAACCTTTTTTGCAGGACCAAAAGTCATTTGTCTCAAATTTCAAATATGAATATGAAAAAACTAGTGTGAGGATTCATCTGACCTGGTTACTGAAATGCTTTACAAAGCACTACACTGAACTCAACCCCAAAGGATAAACCCCAGATCACACATTATCATTCCAACAACTGAAGTCTGACCAGCAGAAAGTTGATCTCATAACACAAAATTAAAAACCAAGGCTCAATTTGTTCCAGGGTTCTCTAAAAAAATTACCTCATTGGAAGGATGACAACAGAAAGGGAGTGACCCGTATTTTCTTAGGTCCATGCTACTCAATTCCTCCTTCCTCCCAGTAACCACTAATTTCATTTTTTCAGTCTTATCCATTATTTTCTACATTGTAAAACTGAAAGAAATGAGTTCAAAAGGAATGTCATTTCCAATGCTTCCTCCTAAGACTCATTTGCTGAGGCGTGCTTTTTGTTCCCAAGTTCTCTAACCCCTGTGAGATATTGCTATTTCACGTGCCTTCTTAGCCCAACAAAATGGCTCCCTTTGTGCCACTTGGCCAGGGCCCCAAGGCTGGCCACACATAACTGCAGGTCATGATCAATGGAAAATAGATGCCCCAGAAAACGTAGAATCTAAGCTTCCTCCAAGCCTTGAGGAAGATCTCAGAGATGCCAGTAACCCACCTTAAAGAACAGTGTGCAATTAGCTGAGACAATGTGAACACCTTCCACAGAATCCAAACCCTTCCATCAAGTTAAGCAAGGACTTGGAAAAGGGTCCCAGTCCAAACACTGTGCCAAGTGCCCGCTCCCCAAAATGTAGTGGGATGAATGGCAAGGAAAGGCCCGGGTTCCCAGGTGGAGATACTACGGAAGAGACAATGGATGTCTCCGGCCCCGCCCAAGAACAGGAAACCCCCTCCTGCAAGGGAACCAGGGCCAGGAATGAACTCATTTGGCAGACGTCAAAGGGGGAAGCGAAGGTGGGATGCAAAGACCGTGGTCCGAAGGTTTGAGCACAGAAAACCCACTCGGGCTGGCTCGTTCCCCCTCCCGCTTGGAGGTGGGCGCGGGGAGGGGGAGGAGAAGGGGTCTTTCCTTTGTTAGGAGAGGGGAGGCAATTCAAAGAGGAGAAGAACAGTTGGTTCCTGAACGGAGGTGAAGGGTCACGATGACCAGCCCCGCCCGACCACAAAAGCACCTGGCCGGGCGGGTCCGAGCAGGGAGTGGGGAGTGGTGGCCCGGCGAGGGTAGAAGCCCGCCGGACCCGATCGATCCGGTCTCAGGGTCCGATCGCTGCGCCCGAGCGTGGGGCCGGCCACATGCCCCGGGCCAGAGGCAGGAGCGCGTGGCCGGGAGGTGGGACAATGGGGTCCGACCAAGGCGCCCTAGACGCTCCCCGGACACCTGGGGGACCAAGACCACCACCCTGGGACGGGCCAGGCTCGCCGCAGAGGGTAGAAAGCGAACCCTCCCCGCACGTTAGGATTAACGAAAACCCGCCGCGCTCCGAGGGGCGGCCGGACCGGGCGCCGCAGCCCCTCGCGCCGTGTGAGGAATGAATGGAAAGCAGCAGGAATCCGGGCGGGGCCGCGCGCCCGGCTCGCCGGGCGGCACAAAGGCAGCGCCGGCGGGAGAGCCCGCCGCCCGCCGCAGCGCGAGCGCAGCGCACCGGGCACCGTACCGCCAACGACCGGCGCCCGGCTCGCGCGGCCCCGCCGGCAGCGGCCCTCCTGGCCCCTCAGCCCCGCGCGGCTGGGGCGCGGCCGCGTCGCCTCACCGGGAGCTATTCCTGCTGTTGGGGTCGACACCCTTGAAGGTGGTGGTGGTGGTCATGGCGCCGAGGAGCGAGCTGGCGCGGGAGCAAAACGCTGAAAGGGTTGGACTCGAGGGGAGCGAAGAAGCTCCACGCCACAGAGCCGGCCACCGCTGCAGGAGCCTCCGCCACAGCCTGGCCGGCCGACTCCAGTTTTTATATGACTCACAAACCCCGCCCCCGCCCAGCTGGCATTGGTCGATTCGAATAGCTCTCTTTGTGCCTATTGGTTCCGGAAAGTGCCAAGCACCGTGCGACGACACGACGGGCTTCGGCGGCCGCAGCTCAACCTAAACCCGCCCCCTTCCTGGACAGGGAAAGTCCAGCGACGTTCTCCCCTCCCCCACCCCAAAATCTCGGAGATGATTGGACAGAAGGTGAATCTGCCTCGCGCTGGGTACAAATTGTGCTGGCTGTCACTTAAAAAAGTTACCTGATAGAGGGAAAAACTCACTCTGGGGTAGTTAGAATCTTAGCAAACCGAGGGCACGTTTGTCATTGCTACTCTTCACTCATTTGCCTTACTTATGGTGGGATAGTAAGGGCATCCTCCTTAAGAGACGAAAAGTACTGCTACAAGTTGACATTTATTTACTGACTACCTACTGTGCGTCCCATTTGGAAACCTAACAGTCCCAAAGCAGCAGCACTATGAGTCAGCAATAGAGAACACGCCAAGATGATTCCTTTTAAACCGACTGGAAATTCTTTACATTTTCATGTTACTATTTAGCTGTAATGGGTGGTGCATGCACTGGACCAAAATTACAGTCCTTCCCATTTGGGGGGCTGTTCTAAAGCCGATTAATGCCTGGCGACGGGGAATGTCATTCCCTCATTCCCTGCCTCCAAGACTATGAGAGCAGCCCAGGCCTATGCAGCTGTTTATAACCCTTAAGTCATGACTCTTCCACCTGTCTGGGTAAATCTATCCCTGCAACAAATGCAGGCACACTTGGAATGACGGTTCACAAGCTCATAATAGGAAAGTCTTGGGCAAACTAGTGCAAACAGTTGATAGATAACCCCTTCTTATGTCATGCATATTTCCTCAAGGCAAATGTCTTTCCTTGTCTAAGTATTTTCATAAAAGTTGAACTACATTCCTCTTCTTATGGCCTATGTCCAGGCAGTTGGAAGTTTGTGTTCTCAGCAGTCTTGGTTCGACACTCTCCCCCTGGGCTTTCATGAAAAGCCAGAGAGAAGTTCTTCTCTACTAGAAGGTATCGGCCATGCATTTATGTGCTCACCACAACAGCATGAAGCACACCACTTGTTTGGATTAGAATCTTCCGATTCTTAAAAGGCTGAGCCTAAATTTCCAAAATCTTAAAAAAAAAAAACAAACAAAAAAAACCATTAGACCATCTAGCCAGTGAGCACGTCCTCCTCAGAAATCATGTAAATTATTGACTAGGAGGTAGTGGAGTATGGTAGTTGATAGCTCAGGCTCTGATTGATATGAGAAATGAAATCTGGGTTTGAATCTCAACTCTTGCCCTTTCTGAACACTAGTTTCCTCATTTCTAAAATAAATATAAAATAGTACCCGGACTCCTTAGTGTTTTGAGGAATCAGTGAGGTAATGGATGTAAAGTGCTTGGCCCAATATATAATGTCATCAAAGTGACAGTCATTTTTATTACCAGACTTATTTAGCAAGTAATCACATATTTGTTTGTATGTTCAGTCAGGGGATTGGATTTGACTGTTTGGGTCCATTTTGGCCTATACTTTTTTTTTTTTTT